TCTTTGAACCCTGAGATAGCTAGAGAGGTGATCGAAATGGCCACGTCGATGATCAAGAACTTCCCACAGGTGAAAACGTTGCAGAATTGTAATAATATAACTGGTTACAACATACAGACTGCCATCGAGTTAACGTCCCAGGGAGTACTGCCTTTGCAAGTGGTCACATACGTATTAGAAATGGTTCACAGACGTCTCGATTTGAAATCTAATCCCACGATAGACTTCGAGAATAATCAGCATCGCAGTAATCTAATCTTGAGACTGTTGGAGATGTTTTTCGAGGGTATAGGTAACAGGTACTGGTGCAAGCATTACTCTCGATGCCTTCAAATATTCTTCCAAAGACACTTCACAACCGTGACAGACGTAATTCGCTTTCTGTCACAGCTTTACGTAAAACCTGTTAAAGTACAAACGTCCTTTCATTGCCTGAAGATAACCCAAGTACTGTTGGGTCAATGCAAGTCCATGCAATGGGCGTTTCAGGATAAACAATTCGTCTCCAATTTATTGATCTCCCTCGCCAGAGAGAATAATGTTTGCCGAAATGCCGCGTTAGACGTGCTCGGGAAGTTAATTCAAACAGTTCAATCGACAACAGACTCGTTCTCAGCCTTGTTGCAGGAGTTGGTAATCAGAAGTCCAGAGATATCCATGGATCCTGACCAGTTATCGTTGTCCCTTTACGTCCTACTGTCGCCTGATCCGGACGTTAGCGGACAACTGAAGTCGGACGTACGAAAGAATCTTCAGCAATCGCAACAATTATTATTCGAGGTCGTCATGGATTCAAATACTCCTCTGCACGTGAAATCACAACTTCTGGACATCCTGGTTTACGTCAATGGACCGACGATACTTCAACAGCTGGCTCCACTGGGACTGCAACTTCTACAGAGCCTTTCCGAATCCAGGAACAGATCAGCAGAGAATGTATTGAAGAATATACTTCAGAGATTCAACAGTTCAACCGTGACTGCTCTTACCGAGCCCCAAGTATGGCAGTTGTTTGAAAAAAGCATAGTCGAACATAATATTACCATGACCGCAGAGTCCAGCGTACAGCATTTAGCCAGCGTCGTTCTCTTGAAGCAGATAGGAGAAGTGTTCTTCGACTGCGCTGGCAAAGTATCCCCAGAACTTCAGAAGAAGATCCTCGCTAAACTAGTGGACGTGCTGACCGACAGTGACGCGACCAGCGTCATTTCCGCGGCTAACAAAGCGACGAGGAAGATCCGAGTGCATGCCGAGCTGATCGTCAACGAGCTACAGAACATGAAGAATCTTAAGAACGAGACTGCGAGTAACGCCGACGGAAGGACCAAGAAACGACTCAGTCATATTCGTGCCCTTCCAGATCCAACGATTATCAACAAAAGGGAATGGAAGCGAGGAGTGACCCTATTGGAATTCGTACAACGCGCAGACAACATAGAGCACGAAGAGCTACTTTATCCAATTTTATTCGATCTACTGAAGACATGTCTCAGCTTCGAGGAACAGAGTCCCATCGAGTACACTAATCAACTACTCTTGTCCACGATTCACAGGTTGACGGAACAGAAATTACCGATACGAGACGCTCAGTTGCACGTCGACATGATCACCCAGTGCATCAGGACGTCGAGGAACCCGCAGACCCATCATCACGCTCTGTTGGTCCTGGTGGAGCTATTGAAGGTGGTGGATGTCCGATGTGCTCTGTACACCATCATGCCTATATTCACTTTCATGGGTAGCTCGGTTGTGCGTCAAGACGATGCGTACTCCATACAGATCATCTCCAAGACCATCGAGACGGTGGTGCCGATCATAAACGCAGCGGAGAGCGAGACCCATGCATGCGAGGTCCTAAGAACCTTCATCGTTTCCCTGCCTGATATACCCGAACACAGACGGACTCCTCTGTTCGTGAAGCTGTTGCAATTGTTAGACAATCACTTCCACTTGTACTATCTGTTGAGTTTCGAGAGTCACGTTATGTCGAGTACAATGCGTATCACGAATCAAAAGACACCTGGACAGAGGCTGGAGTTCGCTCTGCGGGTGTCTCAAGAGTTTCCACCCATGAGGCTCATTATGGTCTGCGTGAAAGTGACGCAGTTCATGAGGGAGCTACCGGTGAACGTAGAGGAGGAAGATGGCAGAAAAGCTGCGATTAATTTTAAGTACAAACACATCTTCGACGTGGCCAACTGCAGTCCCAAACACCTGAGACACTACAAGTACACCCTGGTACAGTTTCTGAGCAATCTTCTCGCTTCGCCCGACTTCATCAGTCGCGTTGCCGAGCTTGATTCCTCCGAGGTGGACAAAGCGAGACCTTACTACGATCAGCTGATCGTTGAGTTAGTACTATTGATCCAGAGTACCTCGAAGAACGCCGATAGGGATCAAGGAAAACCAATGGGAAAGTACTGGAAAGTCTTGCTGCATCATCTGTACGATGTGCTTGATCTTGTTAACAATCTGCTGCCGAACGCGGTCTTCTTGGTCAGCGTGAAACGTCTGATAGAACACGAGCTGCCTACGGTGAAGAGGAAGATCTTGGAGCTTCTGAATACTCGTCTGCAACAACGGAAGTTCAGCGAGGAGGATCACGTTGAATTACTGAGCCTGATCGAGTCTCTGTTAAAATTGATCGAGCCTAAAGCAAAGTACGAGACACAGGAACAAGAGATTATACAGCAGACCGTCTTGATTACCCTGAAATTATTGGCGAAGTTGTTGGCCACTGAACATCCAGCAGTGTTTAAACCGGTGAGTCGATGGCGAACCGTGTGTTAATATTATTCCAGAGACTAATGTATCTCATTTTTGTTTCAGATCCTCGAGATGACCACCGAACTTCTGCGAACAAGGGAGGGACCAGTTTTGGGCAGCGCCGCACTTTGCGTTGCAGAATTGTGCAGCTCGATGCGCATTCACGCGATACACTCGCTGAATAAATTCTTACCGGCGATTTTACAGTTACTGGAGAATCATTGTTATCAAGATGTCCCAGACGTGATAGTCGTCAGCATAGTCAGCGCTTTGCAGAAGATAGTCGAGTCTGTGGGTAACTTTCTGTCTCTGTACCTGGACCAGTTGCTGTTCGAGCTGGCGAGGTTGAATTCCTTTTACACTGACACGGAACATTCAAAGGTATTATAAAAAATTTTGAGGAAAATAATTGTCCTCATTGAGTTGAACTGATATTACGAATTGATACGTTCACAGATTGGAACCGTGGTGTCGCGTTTGAACGCAACGACACAGAAGCTGTCCAGCTGTATACCTTTACGAGTTTTACTTCCGGCCGTGAATAGGACGTATATAACGTTACTTACCAAAAAGACGTACCAGTGTATACCAGCACTTATGACCGTGTTAGCAGAGTCATTTAGCAGCGTCCAATCAACTGATTTAGCTGCTGCCATACCCGACTTGGCTAATTTCTTCTTGAAAGTGTTACAATTTCGCGAGGATATTTCTAGTTCCGATGACGATATGGAGGTGGACGGCTCGGAATTGACTATGAAGGACGTGGTGATGGTGGAAGAAAGCGCTAGTAAGGCTTTGGTCGCTTTGGTATTGAAATTGAGCGAGGCTACCTTCAGGCCATTGTATTACAAGCTGTACGATTGGGCAGCCAGGAATCCACAGTTCAAACTGAGAAGCATTACCTTCTATAGGTTTGTCTCCTTTACATTCCAAGCAGCTGATTAATTAATTAATATCACCTAGGTTTTAATAATGAAATTATTTTTTTTTCCAGACTCTCAGCCAACATAGCCGAATGCCTGAAATCACTTTTCGTGCTGTTCGCTGGTCATTTCCTCAGGCATGCTGCATTATTATTGAGCAGCAACAATCCAGCGATCATGGAGGAGCCACAGGAGATGACTCTGCCCGAGGAATCGAGCAAGATCGAATTAATAGAAGCTATCTTATTGACGCTTTGTCGAGTTTTCAGCTACGATGCGCATAATTTCGTGAATCAAGAAAGGTTTGACATTCTGACACAACCGCTTGTCGATCAGCTGGAGAACACTATGGGTTCGAAGGAGGAATACGTGAAGAGAGCCAATGAATTGGTCGTGCCTTGCGTCGCTGCCTTTGCTAGCGCCATTCCTGATGATTCTTTGCACAAACATTTAGTGTATCAAACGTTGCTGAAGACCAGGCACACGAAACCGTATGTTAGGAGTGCTGCGTTAAGCGCGGTGGTAAATAGAACTTTTTATTTATTTCTTAATTTATAAGGATAATTAATTGCAGTCCAGCAATTTTTATTAAAATTTCGTCACAGGTTGAAATTGTAAGGAAGTTAGGAGAAGATTTTATGCCACTGTTACCGGAAACCATACCGTTCATCGCCGAGTTATTAGAAGACGAAGACGAAGTTACCGAGAAATGCGCTCAGAACGCGGTTCGCACACTGGAGGAGATCCTAGGCGAGCCTTTGCAAAAATATTTTTAAATCACCTTCATTCATTAGTTACCCCTACGCTGTAAATATCTTATATAATCATTTTCTATACAATAAATCAAATTATTTTTTATCAGTGTTCTTTTACAGTTTAGAGAAAGGAAGGAGCGAAGAAGACAAGAGTATTAAGAAAAACATCCGTTTATTCTTAACTTAGTCACAGTTCGGACGAAATATAGAATATATTATTTCCTTACATTATAATACATTATCGTATGGTGTTTGTGTGTGTGTGTACATGTGTCTGTGTATTTGTGGTGTATATATGTTTACGCAAAACACGTGGCAGCACTTAAATAGGCGCCTGAGTAACTAAAATATTGACAGAGAATTTCTAAACGAGCGGCGTAGAGCGCATTTATAGTCTTTCTTCGAGAGTGTCTCCGTCATTTTCGTACGTCTCTTCTCACGATAAACGTGACACTAAAAAAAATCAATCCAATAACGGACACGAAATTTCAGATGCTCCTTGAACAGCCCCGACAGCGGAAAGAAATGTCTCGAAGGCTCTCCTTTTAGAGATTCATTTTTTTTTTTTTTTTTTTTTTTGGAGATCATCCTCGGAGAAAAAATGCAACGTAGGCCTTCTCGCTGACGCTTTTGTCTGGCACCATGAACGAGGAGTTTTGTATTTTCAACGCGAATCACACCTGGGGCACCTCTGCTGCGTTCCTTAATGCCATCTCCTCGCCTTGCTCCATTGACGGTACTTTCCTATCGATCAAATAATTTATATATCATTAAAACATTTTCTACTTTACCCTAATGAAATTCGTCTCTATCTTATATAGTTTCAGAGATATCATTTGGCTATCGTAATAAATGTTTCAATAGACGAGAGCTTGGAAGTATTGAATGAAAACAAAAGGATGTAAAGAACTTTGGATTGATAGAGTTAATCGTTCCACGAACTTTACTCACCTCTTTCTGTATTGGAAGATTATGTACACGATGATGGCATTGCCGACGAACAGCAGGGCAATTAGGACGGTGGGCAGGACCACGTCTGTAAGGTCGAAAGCATACGATTAGAGAAGTATTATCTAGCCACGTGAGGATTTGAAGAGTACGGCTATTCCTATTCGCTGTTTCGCGGTTCACGCCTCCGCAAAAGTGGCACAGCGAACTTTGAACGCTACCAGAGCTGACTAATCGGTCGAAGTTTGCTAGATCGTTTCCGTGCCTGATTATTGTCCCCCAATCGACCGTTGTGAAACTACTTGGTGAAGTAAATCGGAACGGAATCGAGTGATGAAAATTCTCAGTCTCATTAAAGTGTCTGTTAATTTGCATCTCAGAAACAGGGACAGATTCAGAAGTATTTTTTAGAAGGGATGAAATATGTATATTAAGGTATATCTTTCAATCTTCTTCGCGTGTAATTAAATAATTTATTTTATAATATAAATTAATTTTTTTTGTAGAACTTCACGATCCTTCGTTCATCTATGGATTTGCCATCCCCTTAAAATAATGAATTTTTCTTTAAATAAGAAAGATGGTTTTCAATTTGACCACCCCATTTGCATTTAAGTTGCATCGATAAGAATAGAACGGAACTCGATGCAGCTATCTTATAAACACCTCTTTTTTTATTCCTCAAATAGTATTAGAAACAATGGCAATGTAAACATGTTTTGCACGGATCGGTGACAAGAAGAAGAACATAGAGGAATCATCCGTTTCTTATTGAGTAACGTCGTATGCAAATGACCATTCGGTACTCCTTCAAATTATTCTTAATTTAAAAATCCCGGAAAATTGAGAAAAATAATATTATAAGAGCACTTGAAATTTTTTTTTAAATCTATGGAGTTCAAGGAAAAATATGCTCGAGCGAACATTGATTAAATAAAGAATTACATTCACAAAAAAAAAGAAAAAAAAATGAATGATACGAATTGCTAGTTTCGTTGACAAACCGACCTTACGTAACACGCGACAAGGATCTACACTGCAATTTTAAACCTCCATTATGTAACAATTACGTTGGCAAAAATTTTCCTCGGAAAATGCAATGTCGTTCAAGAATCATCATAAACTCGTGACACTTTATCAAAAGATCAACGACAAGATGACCGTAGAAATGTGACCCCAGTTTCCACGAAACAGAGACGATAAGAAAAATGATTAAAGAATGTCCCTGATCGTGGCAATTTTCTTTACACTGGACAATTCTAATGGTGTCAGGTATATACTCTTAATTTCAAATGATTATTTTTAATTTAATTTAATTCTTAATTTTTAATTAAGAAATACTTCTGACTTTTAAAAATGCAAATTATTCACTTTTGTTCTACCCTTAACAGACACAACAATGACTCCTTCCACTGATCAGATTTTCACTGACGAAGTCGATGATTTAAACAACCCTTACTGATATGGTGTTCACGGAAACGATATTGCTCAACATGATTACAAATACAGATTCTAGAAAAATATGTTATTCGATGGTGGTTCACTGACCTACGACGTAGTCTGTTTGCTTCATCATGGCTGATTGCGCCGAATCCATAATGTTCCCGTTTCCAACCGCGTCTGCGTTCTCACCCCGTCCAATTCTGACCCCTGTGCCGACGGTGTTGTCACCGGAAAGACTGGACAACCGATTGTGATCGTGTTCTGTCTTCAAGATCACTGCTGATGTGGCTGAAAAGACAACCAATGAAAATTAAATTTATTTGAATTTCCTTTGTTAACACCTTAGGTATACAGAGGGATGAAATCATAACATTTACCATCTTCAATATTTCCATTATTTGCAATGGTATAAAAGAAATTTTATGTACTTTGTACATATCTTTAATATCTTGTAAATATCTTGTAATAACTTGTAAACGAATTTGCACGTGTTAACAAATATTTTTCATACTTTTTCTTTTTGTAGGTCTGCAGTATCAATATTATAAGAACATTTGTATTTTTATTTACATACAGTTAAGATCTTTGTAAGTATACGTAATTATCTGCCTGATACGTTATCGGAGGAACTCTCGAAAAAAATATATTTGCAAACGCTTTATCCAAACGTTGTAGATACCGATTTCGAAGGCCATGTGAATTCGTGACTCGTGTTAAAAAAGAAAGGGGAAGCATAGGTGACGTTTACCGTTTATCGCATTGAAGTGGATGAAAAATATTGATCGATGAGCAATTGATAATGATATAGACTAGAATCTCCTATATGAACTTTGGAGTTTGTCGAATGATAGTTACAAAATTTTAAATTGGAAAGTACCCCTTTCGCAGGTATAACAATGAGATAATATTCTTTCATTTAACCCTTTCGCTGCCACGGTGGTCTCATGGGACCGGCGCTTGTCTGTTCATTTGGGCCATGATGGTCACCGATGACCACCATTAAGAAAATTGTGCTATTGGCAAGATTGTACCGTTATTTTAATATATTTCACAGTTCTTTGCCATTATAAAATTTTTAATACGAAAGTTGTGGCCCACTGGTGCAAGTTCAAAAATTCGTCTAGCAGCAAAAGGGTTAATATATTTTTCTTCATCTACGAAGACGAACGCCACTTTCTTCAATGGCTCCTTTTTTTTTTTAGAGTTGCGAGGAGCCGCACCCTTGAACACTCCTTTCATAATACTGGGAATCGCCTTAGAGGGATTGTAAAACACATTTACGATCCAGTCGATCGGTGTTCTTTCTCCTTTGGAACACGAGGACGCGTTCTTCTCTCAGCTCGAAGGATTAACATCCAGGCTTGGATTTATGCTTCCCATCGCAAATTGCAGCTTCTACCGCGTTCTCGAGAAACGAACCAGGCCAAGGAGATAAATTCACGTTGAAGGTATTCGTTGCAAAAGGTAAGTTCTTTGTACCATAATTTACCTTCTTATTCCAAAGAGAACCCCCTAACGTTTGGAGAAACAAATTTTGTATAATTATACATAGAAACACCAAAAATAATTTGCAGCTGCAAAATTCACCCCTAATATATAGTACACGAATAACACGATACACAGTCACAAGTATTTCTTCAAATTACCAGCGGTTTTCTTATGGTTCTTCAAAGAAATTCCAGAATACCGGTGATATTGTAGGTCACACTTTCTTCCCGTCTTTCTTCCGTCACGTTATTCGACAGAATAAATTCGATGCTCTTGTAAAATATAATCGTTTATGCTGTTTATGCGGAGACACATGTCCTTATCAAACAAGCAACGGAAACCGCGAATTTACGAGCCTGTGACACGGTGATAAGCGGTTCGTATATCACCTCTGGTAATCATTGGCCCAAATAAGGCAACGTTTCGAGAGTTAACACTTTGATTACCACGTCGAAGCTATCAAAAGTCTCTTTAAATAATACTTGTGTTTTTTTTAAATAAATTTTAATTATTACAATTTCCAAGTAATGGGCTGTACTCGTGTACAATCTGAATATTGACCGAGAATAGTTGTCTTATCAAAGAGAAGAAGATAATCTCTCCTCTTCAGATTTTAGATGTCCGACTGATTTTGACCCTTGAACGATTTTCTGTCGCTTCTTAATTGAATGATATCCATTAATTATCCTAGATAATTTATCAATAATCGTACTTTTGCTTGTTTGTTTTAACGCAACCAACGACCCAATTGCATCAATTTTTTTTCGATGGTCGCTTATATCGAGACCATTCTATTTTCATCGTGCTTTATCTGCGGTTAATTGAAACATTGCATACTAATTAAATGATCGGACAATTAAGATTCGCGTCCATTGAAATAGACATTGCCCTCTTAGAGTTATCGTAGAATACGATTTATTAGTCAAACGGTTTGGCGTTTGCAGCATTTAGAAAATTGCTCAGATAATAGATAATTGCATGAATTTTCAAGCCCGGGTAAAGACTGACGTTTGTTGCAAGACATATTGATATTCTAGTTATTAATAAGAATGATTCATTTTCAAGTATCTGATATTATTATAATATTAATGCTATTCTAAATAATCTCTTGCTTACCAACAAACATGAATTCGATCATCGATCAATAACATTGTGATTAAAAGGAAAGAAATTGGTTTGCGCGAGAATCAATTCAACATTCAACAAAGAGGAAAAGGTTTTATGAGCGTTGATCTATTACGGGTCACTGCATATCGCTTCTTCGTTCAATAATTATCATTTTCGAATTCACGACGAAAACACGTGCCATTCACGTTCCATTTTCCTGTTTCTCAGATTCTCTCTACGAAAAAATTTATTAGCAAATTGTGATAGTTTAACTTATTAATTAGAGACTTTCTCAGGATTATAATAAAAATTAATGACGAGGAAGAAATATGAATTAACATCAGTCATTAAAGTGAATTAATGAGAATGTCCTGTGATAATGTGTTTCTTCTTTGCATCACATCACAATCACTGCTACAAATAACGAATAAATGAATATATTGGTAATGATTATATATGGAAATGAATGAATATAAAATCGATCGATAACTGCAGGTTTAAGTTTCAAACAATTGAACGATTAGCAGAAGAAAAGAGAAGAAAACTTTAGAATTTTCAATAAATTTAATTCAACTTCTCCATTTCGAACATAGCTTTCACTAAAATAATTCACACTCCCTTACGAAACTTCACACTTGTTCGAAACCTTCTCAATTCATTCAATGAATTATCACGTACCAGAAAAAAGAAACACATCGATCAGACCCCTTCAAACCACTTGAACGAACTGAAACGGGTGCGTTTCGAGTGCACTGGGAAGGGTCTCTCTTCCAGTCATCGTTCAATCAAGCCACAATTGTCGGTAACCCTTTAACTTAATCCTTGAGTGTGACTAACGTTAGAGAGATACCATTTGAACGGATTGATGTTCATTTTCTCGACGCGGAATCGTTTCCTCTTGAATCAGAAATCGAGGGTGACTCGAGAGAAACGGGGAAGGAAAATTCTAATGATTTTATTTCAACTGTGATCAATTTACGAACGAAGTAGTCGGTTTGATAGAAGCCAAAACAATTCACTCCACCCTCGTTTCATCGGGGTTACTCGTATCCGTCGCGTCAACCCTCGAGACGCGTATACGTTTGTATCGATCGTCGCGAAAGACGTAAAAATGAGGCAGGAACGGAATAAAGAAACGTCAATCTCAGGACGTTCGAGAATAGACGGATTTCGCGATCGTGAGAGCGACTCGGGATTGCGTCAGTCCCGAGGGATGTTTAATTTTAGAGAACGATTCGTGAAAAGGCGGATGTAAGAAATGAAGATGAAATTGAAACGCTGCTCGTGTTTCAAGAATTTTTCAACAAGAAATCGTGCAATTCTATTTGAGCAAACAATTGGACCTCGCAGTCTTCCAAGATTTTAACTTATAAAAGATATTAAAATTGACGAAAGATATTCTTCGAACGTTATCATATCAACGTCAGAAAAGAAATGGAGTAAGTCTGGATCGAGCACTTCCTGTGTGTACGTTGTATCAGTCACGTATACCACGTGTTTCGAGAAAGAATTCGAGAAGCAAACGTGCGAGGTCAATCATGTGTGCAGAAGGAAATTGATGGAAATCGTTGACGATTATCGGGAAACAGCGTCGATAGATGAAAATTCTATTTTCGTCGAGGGACATTCGTGAAAATACTTTGTTCCAAACAGAAACTGAACAATTGGTTCATTTTTTATTCATGAAGTTATGTAAGACTGTTTTTTCCAATCGGCAAGAAGAAATTATTGCTGACAAGTCAAATGGAATTCCTGTGTAGAGTTTCCGTGCAAAGTCAGTCGAAAATGACTGCACTTGAAACTGCAGTTGAAAGATATGGAATTAATAATTCTACGATTTTAATGTCGTTTCAAGTTTATTCCACTTCTCAAATAAAATCATTCTTCTGTGATAGTTAATTTAATGTAATTACAGGAAGGATAGGGTCAAAGTATATGAAAAACCTGTTATAATGTATTCCATTTCCCGAGAAAACAGTAATTAAACAAACTTTGAAAGTCAATTACCAGTAGCAATTAACAGTACACTTAAATAGTAAAATTGTATAATAGCATGACCTTTAGACATTGTAAATGTCAGGCTGAAATTGTACAATTAATAATTTTGTTTATTAATTTTGACTGATAAATCATTCCTGATAAAATAGATGACAGGAAATTGATACAACGATCAGATATGAGTGATACGGTTCAAAGTATTAATTGATACCTTGATTAACGTTCAATAATACCTACAGATTAAAAATGAATTTCTATTATATTATACTTCAAATATAAAGTAATTAAATACTTAAAAAAGGTGAACTTGAAAAAGTATCTATTCGTATTCTAAATAAAGTAGACTTTCACTATGTCTGACTATTTTCGTCTATTTTCACTGTGGCGCTGAACGCGTTCAATTAAATTCCCGGGCCAATGAATGTATTTACAATTATGTTTAATTACTGTAATTAATTTTAAAGGTGAAATAACACCTTCACCATAAAAGAAAGGTGATTTGTATCGATTATATTTAGTTCGTAGTAGGAAGGGATCAAAAGTCAGATTTGTAAATATAAATGTAAAAGGGTTAATATTCACGACAGATTTATGTTCTTTTTTTACGATTCGTTCTAGAAATAGTCAGTCAGATAGATTTTTTTCCAACCACGTGCTCGATAACGTCACATGTACTATCGTGAAGAAAGAGACAG